ATCTTGCTTCATAATTATTGAGCTTAGATCAATTTCGAGTATAAGTGTGTTATAAAGAGATTCGAAGGTTGATTCTACCAGAAGGCGACGGCAGATTCCTCTTGACCAGCTGTCGATTGGCTTTACTTGAACATTCATGCTGACGCTGTTTCCGAGGTAATCTCCTTCGTCCTTCATATGTCGAAATTCATCAGAGCAAGGTATCATCGTGACAACCAAATTCAAGCTAACGAGTCAGGAAACTCACCGGTAAATCCTTAAAAAGCTCTATATCTGGCCTCTTTCATGAGGTATTAAGCGATTTGGTTAGTTACAGTGAGTTTCTTGACGATGATACCTTGCTCTGATGATGTTCTTCATATCACGGACGAAAGCTTAGCATAATTTCACCATAATGGAAGGAAACGGCGTCAGCATGAATGTTCCAGTAAAGCCAATTGACAGGTGGTCAAGAGGAATCCGCCGTCGTCTTCTGGTGGAATCGACCTTCAAATCCCTTCACCAAACACTTTCACTCGAAATGGAAGTAAGAACAACAATTAGGATGATAACGACGAGTTAGTGAATACAGCCTATTATGAACCTAATTCACATCAGGTCGAAGCCGAGTTATTTCAAATAGCTCAAGGGAGATTATGCTCGTCATTTGACACTCGAAAATGAAGTAATAAAGAGTCCTAAGGATATTAAGGCGTTGTGAAAGGTAAACAGATAATGGTTTTTATAATGAAATTTTTTTATGAAAATTTTATTTATTAAACAAGATCAGTGCAATTAAAGAAAATTGAACCATAAGTTATAAAAAACTTACGCGAAAACTTCATCTTCGTTATCTAAAAAAATAATGGAAATTAAAGAATTTGAAAGAATCTGAAAAAAAGTTAAGCCTACCACATATTTCAGATCCTTCACGGAAGTTCAAGGTGGTAATTCGGTATCTAAGAAAGATTTAAAAGGGCAAATCGAATGATAGAAAAAGTAGAAATTATATAGAAATTTTAATGATTTATAGGGAATTTAAAATTAATTAAAGGCTGTTAACACAGGCAAAAGTGGGCATATCAAATATTTCAAGGAATTTACTGACAAAATGTATCCACAAGAATCAGTGACAAAATCTGGTGAATAAGAATAAAAGAAAAAATAGAAGTAATGCCAAACGAATCAAAGGGTATTTAGGATATACTTTTGGATACAACAGACGATTAATGATGCATATAGAATTACAATTTACTTAGCATCTAAGGAAGTTGCTAAACTCTTTTGCAAACATGCTTTTCTAAAACACCCTATGGGAAAAAAATAGCGAACATTTCGACAATCCTATTAGAGAGTCAAGTTGACCTAGCTTTATATATTTTGGCTAATGAGTAGATGTAGACTTAAAAGTGGAAGCATCACTAAGCAGAGAAAAATATATTCGTTTAGCGTAGAATTCGAAATTTTCCTGATTGCCTAATTCTATAAAATAATGTTAGTACTAGATAAAATGTCCAGTAACATGAAATAAATATGACGAATAAACTTATAATTTTGTATTAAAATGAGCCTAGAATACAGATATGCATGTTAGATAACATGAGGATGAAAAGACAGTCAACATACACATGGCGAAGCGACAAATCAGGTCGGCCCGCAATATGCGCGAGGAGGTGGAAAGTGAACCGTAGAATCTCCTCACCTGCTTGTCTCCGGATGGTCAATGGATGTCCGAATAAAAACCAATCGTAGGCGAGAGTGAGATAAAGCATTTCGGGGGGAGCCAAGGAGTCGTGAGCCAAGCCATCGGCCCATAGGAGACATCGTATTAAACTAATGAAAAGAGGAGTGCGGTCCCATCCGGAGACGCAGTGCAGGAGAAGGCCACCAGAGCCTGATATGGAGAACAAAAAAACACGGCCTTTTATAACTTGTGCAAGGCAAGACACATTTTGGTTAGATTGAAAATATCAACAACACTAAATCAGCTCAAAAGTTATCCTTATTTGGCTTCATATAGGCCATTTTATGAATCCTTTTCAGGTAAATTTTATTTAAAAGTGAAAATTCTGGTCGCATCAAATTATCAAGGGATAAATTGAAAAGCAGCTTTTCTTCATATCATTGAAGATATTATTCCTGTTGTTGCAAATGCAAAAGAGCACCCAACGTCTAGACAAAAGCAAAGTAAACTAAAAAAGATTTAAAAACAGATCAAGAGCAAATTTAAAATGGAGCATTATCTGAATCGTCACTTGATTATGTTTAAAATTATAATCTATAAAGGAATTATGAATATTTTAGGTAAAAGTTGGTCATGAAAAACAAGATAATTGAGATCATGATGAAATCAAGAGAAGAGACCATTTAACACTTCAAATTCATATTAGAGTACCTTTTATTTCGATTGAAGGGGCGAGTAAAGGGATAGCTATGTTGGCCTCAACGGAAGCTTTAGGGTGATCGTCTAAGAGCTAGCTGCCTTTCTTGTCTGTTAGTTTTTTGAATTATTGTAAATCATAGTGTCCTCCTCTGACGAAGTCCGTCACACAACTGACGAAAGCTAAGCAAGGATTCATCGGGGTCGCAGGGTGGTGCGCCGAGAACATATTCGTTTAATCTACAATGACAGCCCCAAGGCAATCCTCCACAGCTTTCGGTGAGGCCAACCTACGAATCGCTTTCACTCCCCTCATCAAACGAAATGAAAGGTATTCCAACATGAATTTATCAAGGAATTCTTAAAAAACTAATTTTTATACATTATTAAAATTCCGTTTTATTTCTTCCGGAAAGGCCCTGCCCGCCTAAGATTAACTATGATTACTGCCGCTTCCGGCTGTGATAAACAAGACAAATAGGATTCGAAGGCAAGTCTTCGCCCACATTTGTGGTATAGTCAGGTAAAAATAAAAGCCGCCTATGAAGTGTAACTAGTTTAATCAGATAGACAATTAGATTAATTAAGCAAGAGAACTGTGTTATGCGTTAAGCAACCCTAAAAAAGCTTATTTAAAACGATCGAAATCCGGACAAAATATTTTAAAAAGGTATATATAGAGCTTTCTTAGGATTTGCCGGTGAGTTTCTTGACTCGTTAGCGTGAATTTGGTTGTAACGATGATACCCTGCTTTGCTAATGTTCATCATATTACAAACGAAAGCTTAGCATATTTTCATCAGAATTGAAGGAGATTACCTCGGAAGCAGCGTCAGC